TGATGCTGGTTATCTTCAGATGGATTGCGCCCGTGAATCTTTCGCATTTGCAACATATAAACCAAAATCAGAAAGGAAAGTTAAAAAGTTTGTTCATTCGTTATATAATAATGTTCAAAAATATGATAACTCAGTATGTGGTAAATATATTGACCCTTCAGAAGTTTTCAAGAAAGCAAATGAAGAAGTTGATGTCACTTTTGATATGATTATTCCGGTAAATGATTTGTTAGCATTTCAGGCGTTCGATGATTATCCTAAATCATTTGGTGATATCATTCTTAAATATTATGTTTTCAGGGATACTTTAGTATTTTGTCAGGTTGACCCGTTAAGAGTTGCTGATTTACAAAATTACGTTTATGAAAAGATAACTGATGAAAATTATGAAAAGATTATGAATCATGTTTATAAATATGATCGCAAATTCCAACAAATCGGACTTCCTGCCAAATTAATTACAAGCTTAGTCGCTACATCTGCTGACGCAACAGTTGATGACGTTATTATTTCATGCACAAAGATGGAAGTTTTAGAGGATAAATGCATTACACCAGGATACGGTTTAATTGAAGAATCAGTTAAAGCAATACCACGTTTATTCAGTAAGGAAGATCCATTCATGATTCCAGCTCAACATATTGACGTTCGTTCACTAAATGGAGGTTGCATCACTCCTGAAGGTATTAGCTCAGATTTCTCATACGTTCTTCATAATGTTACAGATGTTGTGTTAACATTTCCGAAGAATGCAATGCAAAGAACGGTTTTAGAAAATCCAATGCTTCGAGGTCTTCAGGTCACTATAGATTCCAGAAACTTCCCCGATCAAGCGATGACCACAGTGGGCGACATATTCTTTACACGTATGCTTCAAGCTTCTGATTTAGATGGAGTGAATGAATGCACGGAAGAATACGAGGACTCATTAACTAGACCACTGAATGATGATGATGGCGCGCCATTAGCTAGAACATGGAAAGACCAAACTTCATTCTTATGCATTATTCCAGTTCAACGTGATGGAGCGGGTATATTCTTTGATGGATTAGAAACTTTCAACTCACAAGTTACAGTACAAGTGAAAGCTTATCCAATCATTCAGGGTGAAAATGACACTTACTGTTCAAAGGTGACAAATCCTCCTCAGGTTTGGTTTACTAGGACTACATATTGGACATGGACACCGGACGAAGGTTTGAAATATCATCCAACAGGTACACCACCACAGTATAGAAGTTCATATGATGAAATATTGATGAATAGAAATGTTTAAAATTATAAATTTATTTTTGATTAAATGGATTTAAATTCATCCACCCCTTATGAAGAATTAGCAGGAGTATATAATACATACGTAGATGATATGATTAATGAACATTGAGTGATAATAGAAATGCTCTATCTAAGGAAAAATTAATGAAAATTCCATATTCTGAATGTTACTTAAATTCAATCACTGCAGCAATTGGTAAACAGAATAAAGGTAAAACATTAACGATATTAAAACAAATTATCATTATTGCTAACACTTCCCCCTATTCACATGTGTTAATTTATATCAACCGTTCAGGTTCACCTTCAGATGATACATTTGAATCTTTAAAGCATTTAATCAAAATTCCAATTATTTATTTATCACAAGAAGAAGCAGAAGATTATTTAAAAAACTTTTTAATGTATAAAGAATTATATAATACAATCAAGAAGCAAGGATTAGAGGATAAAATTATTGATAAACAACGGGATGAATTATTTGAAACACTTTCTATTTCAAATTTTGATAGAGAATTTTTGCATTCACTCATTTTTCTAGATGATGCAGTGAAATCAAAACTAATAACAAATGAGAAATCATATTTTAATCAGTTATTAACTCAATGTCGACACATTCAGTGTTCATTCTTTATGGCTGTTCAATATTTCAAAGCATTAAGCACAAACATTAAATCAAATCTATCAACACTTTTCATTTTCAGTGGGTTTAGTCGTCAACAGTTGAACGTTATGCTTTATCAAGTGAATTTACCAATGAGCATTAATGAACTTTACACACAATATCAGCAATTAGGTGAACATGGAAAAATAATAGTTGATTTAAATAAAGGAGGTGTTAAATTTGATTAACTTTTTATAATTAATTTTTATTTTTTATTTATAATTAAACATGACAGAAATAGCAAATCTTCTACAGGTTCCATTAAAACAAGGGACAAACAAAAGGGGTGCATATAATAGAACTATGAAAGTTCCTGATGGAATGAAAGAATTAGTTCATATTGTTGCTGGTCTTCAAAAAGATGTTAAACAAATGAGAAACGTTTTAACATTACCAGAAGCTCAAGCATATGCCAAACGTCAAGGTCCAAATTGGGAAGCACACGAAGCAGACATTACGGGTCCAAATGGAAAACCTGATGGTATAAATGAAGTTTTCGTTACTGATGGTCAAGGTAATATTAAAGTCATAAATGGTTATAAATTAACTATATCTGATTATCCTAAACGTAAAGCATATAATGAACGTTATCCTATGCAATTTGATGAAAATGGAAAAGCTGTTAAACAATACATTGGAGAAGGTGAAAATGGTCCAATTAATTCATACCGTTATAATCCATATTCTTATTTCAATGAAGAATTAAATGCTATTGAAGAGGGACCGGATGGATTACCACGATATTCTAACCAGTTTGATGGTCAATATGCAAATATTAGACCTGAAATTTCAGCCAAGAAATTCTTTAAAGTTGCTTTATTCGATCCAGTTTTCGCAAATGTTAAAGATGAACTTAAACAGCAATTCCAACCAAATATAGTAGCAAGAATTGCATCAGGTGCTTTATCTCAAGCATTCAAAGATTTAATTAAGAAACCATTATATCAGCAACGAGGTTTAACTTATGATTTAGTTAAGGAATCAGATAAAAGAAAATTTGAGAAATCAGATGATTATAAGAATGCAATTAATGAATATATTAGGTCTATTAATTACAATGAACCAGCTAAAAATCAACTTCAAGAACAAATACAGGGAATAATAGATTCAAAACTTCCAGCAAAATAAAAGTTTAAATATATTTTTTTATTCGAATATAAATGAGAAGACGTTTCACTAGTCAAAAGAACACTAACGCAAAAGCAGAGATTACGGTTGGTTATAACGTAAATGATGATAAATCACGAATTATTCAAAATGTTAAAGTTAATGTTAGCCCGAATTAACAAGGTCAGCAACTCAACCAAATTTATTAACTCGTGACTTACCGAAGAATGAGGAGAATGAAGAAAACCATGAGAATGGAGACCCAATCATTTTATCTGAACCTGGTAAAGAACCTGTTGAAATTCCCACTTATCCAACATACCCCCCACCTCTTTCATCAAACATCGAGAACCCATATAAAATAGACATTAATTCTGAATTAATGAAAATTTACCGTGATATAATAATTAATAATTATGATTCAATAATAAATTTAATTGACCAATCCGGTTTAATTATTTTACCTTATGAATCATTAATTCACATTATCGCCATTCTTTGTGATGTTCAAGATTCAGACGTTAAGATTCAATTTTTCATAGATGATGAGGTTTCATGCTGCGGAACAGTTGCAAAAATAAATCCTATAAAGGATATTAGCACAATTAAGATATCAAAGAACGGAACAACAACTGAACTTCATTTAACATATAATGATATTTATAATAAAATAGTTGATGAATATAAAATATCACTTGAAAAATTCTTTGTTAAGGCTATTTAATATTCAAGCATTAACATTATCGAATAATAATCCTTTGAATCATAATCAATAATAATTGACCTTTCACCAGTTTCTATCGTTTGTTTTATTTCTTTTTGTTCCCCACTATCCGGATCGGTCATTGTAATTGTTTTTGTTATAGTATCAGCTTTATCTTTAACTTCAATCTTTTTTCCATTGGGATATTTAAACCAAAATTCCAAAAATTCGATATTGTCAATCTGTTCATATTTTAATCTATCAATTACATTTTTAATACCATCTGAAAATCTTATGAAATGGTCATTATATGGGTTTGATTGAACTAAATTTGAATGAAGTGAAATATAACCTGTTGATGAATATGACACTGACTCATATTTTCTGAAAACACTAAAATTTATAACATGAATGAATTTCTTATTCGTTGAATTTATGAATTCTTGAGGTAATCTTATTCTAGTTTTATTTATCACTGGAAAATAACGCTTTACCATATTTTTAATCGTAAAAAAAATGTCAATTATCAATATTATTTCGAATAATAACTGTGAATTAAATTTAACAGTTAGCGGAATTTATAATGTTACTCTCGTTTCTGTGAGTGGTAAATTTAATCCCATTCTTTTAGACCCTTCAGATTATATATCATTTATTAAAGATGACCATGAAAAAACGTATGATATGTATATAAATAATGTGATAGCGAAATGGGATATTAACACGATTTTAAGTTATTTAAATGAATCATTTATCGTATGGTATGAAGAAAATTTTAAATCAAAACCTGATAAACTTTTTGAACTTGATGAAATAAATAACCTTATTAAATTTCCGCTGAAAATTAAATTTTGTACTCCTCATCTTCGTTCATTGTTGGGGATATTAAATTTTGAAAAAGATGTTGGGGATGTTTTGTATTCTGACACTGGTTCCAATTTCATTTTAATCAAATGTGATAAAGTTAATACCCCAATGAGATTTTCACATCAAACATTAGACCCTAACTCTTACCCATCAATACAAAACATTTTATCCATCAACTTAAACACATTTTCTTTATCATATCCATTTCAATTATCCGGGAATTCATTTATTCTTCATTCAAAAGATTTATCAAATATTAAATTTAGAATAACTGACCTATTTGATTGTGATTTAGAATTTATGAATGAAATATTATGGCAATTTCAAATAGAGAAAATAGCTGATGAGATAACGGATTAAATATTTATTTTTAAATCGTAATAAATGATTAAACAACAGCAACCACAACAACTTAAGGCGCAAAGCGCCCAGGTCCTTCAGACCATTACATACGCCATATATGCATATAATTCAAAGACGGCAGAACAAACGCAAAGGTTGAAATATGGAGATTTGGAGATAGTATTGAAAAATGACCATTTCGAATTCGTTTGCAAAGGCGGTGCAGTGATATCAAATATAAAAGAAATTTTATTTATGAATTCAAAAATTAAAGGAATAACGGATGATATAACATCAATTCCACCAGAAGAACAGAGATATTACGCATTAAATGCATTTCCTAAAGTTTTGAAGATTGGAAGATTTAATTTAAATGAGGAATTCATAGAAGGTTTCCTAAATGACATAATGAAGAAAGCAGATAAGGAATATGTGGATAGTGAATTAAATAAGAAGGCAAATTTGGTTTATGTTGATGAAAAAGATAATGAAATTAAAGAAAAGGTTGAATGGTATCATGAATGGACATTGGAGACTTTTAAAGTTAAAGCTGATACAGAATGGGTTTCAGGATGTTTAGACCTTAAAGCAGATAAAACTTATGTTAATGATGAGTTAGAGAAGAAAGCAGATAAGGAAAAAGTTATTTCATTCATTAATACTGAGTTAACAAAGAAAGCTGATATATCATTTGTTAATGAAGAAATAAAACAATCAGAGGTCTATTTTACTCCACCATTTTTAAATTTTATGAAATCATCAGATAAAACCTTTGATATAGATTCTTTTGAATGGATATGTTTCGATGGAGTGACCATGTATTTATTTTATACAGCTGGAGTGCTTTATTATTTTAAAACAAATGATTTTAAAAACTATGAATCATTTACTCCATCTGTTTGAATCCTGATACACGAAAGCCAATCATTAATCCAAGAATTTTATATGTTGAATATAATAACGGTAAATTTATGGGAATGATAACGGTTGGAGATGATTTTTGCCCTTGTTATTCATTCGATTGTATCCAATGGTTCAAATGTAATTTAAATCAAGATGCTAAATTTAAATATCCAAATAATCCTATTAGATGCGTTAATAATAAATGGGTACTAATTTATGAAGTCAATCAAATTTTCATTAGTGAGGATGGGATAAATTATTATATGTTTAGTATGATGTCATCAGATTTGGAAATTGATTATACAAGTAAGTGGTATTACATTAACAACATGTATTTTATCCTACAAAATGATAAAATTTATAGATCATCTTCAATACCACAAGGTCAATTTGAACAAATTTTTCAAGCTGATGGAGACATTGAAGCTTTATGTTATGGATCAAATGTTTATGTTCTCGTTTCAGGTGATATGGTCTATTCATATCCTGTAAGTTATAACAGACATATTTATTTATCACAAGATTTATCAAATTGGGAATTGGTTTATTCATTCACTCCAAAACTTACTCGAAATTATAGATTTACAAATTATTTTATATTGATGGGTATTTCATTGCTTTAGGATGTGGTGATTTAGTAAACATCAGTAGTGATGGAAGAAACTGGTCTGAAATCATAAAATTTCAAGATGTTAGAAAAGCAATTTTCAAAAATAATACGTTAATATTGATAACAAGACCAGTTTTAAATACTCACCCAAATTCAATATTATATAATAAATTCAATATTCATAATGGATTAAATACAATTCTTGAGATGATTTACCCCATTGGTTCTATTTATACGTCAATGAATTCAACAAATCCAGAAACAGTTTTAGGTTTTGGTACGTGGAAGCAGATTGTAGACAAATTCTTATACTGTGCTAGATATTCAAAGCAAACGGGAGGTTCGAAGAAAATTAAAGAAGCAAACCTTCCACCGCACACTCATACGGGAACTACAAACACAACAGGTAGTCATTCACATTCAATAACAAAAAGAGGTTATAGAAATCTTGCAGCAGGTTCGGATAGACAGGGAATGGATAGATATGATATTTCAAGTGACCCAGTAGATTCAAGCGCAGGTATTTTCTGTGGAACCGCAGGAAATCATGCCCATACTTTCACAACAAATCCAACAGGCTCGGGTGAAGATTATATGCCACCATTTATGACTGTATTCGCATGGTATAGAGTTCAATGAACGCTCAATGTTTGTGAAACAAACTTTAGAACGGACTGAAAGTCCTGAGCTCCAAAAGAGCAAACGGTATAATTTAAATTTTTATTTTAGTATAAATGAAGATTCTACCATATGGTGTTATTGGAAGAGATAAAGATGGAAACCCAATATTTGATCCAAAGTTAAAATTAAAGTTACTGACAAGACAACAACTTGAAAAGTTGCTGAAACCAAAACAGGATGAGAAAATGAGAAAATGAGAAAATGAGAAAATGAGAAAGAAAAAAATTTAAATTATGCAATTTTATTTTTATCATAAATGACAAAATTAATTAAGCCAACTATTTCTAAATTAATGATACCAATGAAATCATTTCATGGAGTACTTATCCCAGGTTCTTCACAATTAGCCGGGGCAAGTGTTGTGACTCAAGGTGGAACATTAGCGAATCCATTCAAATTATTAACTAAAGATGAACTTAATAAAATGATGATAAAATAACTGATAACAAAATTTTATTTCCTGTGTTGTTGTCAAAATGTCATGTTGTCATCATTTTTAAGAGAAGTTAATTGACATGGTAACATGGTAGCACTGAAAAAATTAAATTTGGATTGAGTTTAAAAATTCATCTTTATTAAATTCATCTCTTCCAATCAATTTATTTATTCTATTAAATTCTTTTATTTTTGCTTCACTCAGTTTAAGGATTGAACGGTAAGTTTCTAATTTTTCGATTATTTCTTTCCTATCTTTATCGTTTTCAGCCCCACCACATTGCGGCTTCTTTTTATAATAGCATATTTTTGATTTAATTCTGTTTAGTTTCTTTTTATATTCATCGTCTGGACTCTGAATCTTAATTGAATCAGGACTCTTGGATGCTTTGTTGTCACTCATTTCTTACGAAATAAAAAAAATTAAATATTATTTAAATATAATGGAGTAATAAAATAAATCGGAATTTCTATTAATTTATTGTCAACTTCAACTAATGCATTGCCGTTAATATATCTAACAAATTCAGCTATTGTGTCAAATCTTCGTCTTCTTTTTGTCATTGATTTATCAGTTTTTCCATAATCGAGATGAATCAAAACTTTATCCCCTTGTTTAAAATTCATGAGCCCCGAATTAATTTGTTCACGTTTAACATCATTTAACCTTTCCATTTGCTTTCTAATATATTCCCATTCTTTTGAAATATCATTTTTCATTTCCATTGGTTTCATGTTTATAGTTCTATGCCATGTATTATTGTAATAATATACTAACTGTTGTATGATGGAGTCATGATTTCCATCCCAGTATATCTGACCGTTAACCCCTAACGCATCTCTAAGAGTTCTCATTACCGCATCAACTATTTTATTATGAAACGTATATGGAGAGGATGAAAAGTAAAAATTAATTTGTGGGAAATAATGAGCCATAGCTGCCTGAAATCCTTTATCACCATCACCCCTTATATTATCTACTCTTTCATGATCTAGTAAGTATTGTATAGCTCTTCTTGTTTCCTGTTCTGTTTTCCCTTTCACCGGAATGCAATATAAATATCTGGTGTTAATGTTAATGGCAAATAAATAAGTAACGTTTCCTTTTGAATATTCTAAATGATCGATTTCGTATGAATATGGATATGGTGCAAATGAAGGGCGATTAAATTTTTCCTTTAACGGTTGAATTTTTGGGTCAGTTGGTTTATTTAATATTTTGAAATCCTTTTTAAAATCTTTTTGCTTCTTTAATGTTTGAAATGGATATAATAAAGTGAATGATGAAGGATTAACTGAAGGAGGAGGTACTACCGTTGGAGGTTTTGGTGTTGCAAGTGGTTTAATTTTATCTGCTTTGATTTTGGATGATGAAGTTTTAGTTGTTGATTTTCCTTTCATTAATTCTGAATGTATTTTATTCATTTGTTTTAAATATGTTGTATATAAAGGTTTGATATACTTTCCCGCTTCGAGTTTATGTTGAAGGATGAATTCCAAAAGTTGATCTTCATTTAAAAGTCGGGCTGAATATGGTTTAACTAATGAATCATAAATTAAAGCTTGTGCATCATTTATGGTCTGAAGGACCTGGGCGTTTTGCACCTTTAGCTGTTGAACATTTGCTACTTTCTCTTTTGGTGTTGTTTTCGGCTTTTTCTTCTTTGGCTTTTATTCCTTTGGCTTTTGCGGCTCAGGATTATATAATTTATATAATTCATCAATATCTTCTTCTGTTAATACTTTATTTTTGAAATCTTTCAATTGTTTAAGTTGTGATTTAGTTTTTCCCTTTGTATATTCATTATTTTTAATTTTGTCTTTAATTTTAGAAATTATTTTATCATGATATTTCAAAATTTCATTTTTATAATACCGATAATAATAACCCATATCATCACCCGTTATATTGTTATTATGTTTTTGGAGATATGCTTTTAAATCGTAATAATCAAGAAAATTTTGATAAAATACTAAATCATCAATTAAAATTTCTAAATCTACATTATCCATTTATATAAAAATAAAATAAATGTTTTAAGGGTGCCCACCTCTTTGAATCATAGTATCAAAACCATTATTTACATATTGAATTGCATCATTAACGGTTCCTTTTGTCTCTTCTGTGGCATTTTATTAAAAATAAAATTTTAAATTCATGACTCAACCCCTACGTTTTTAAATTGTATTAAATAAATGGCATACAACATCCATTTTCACAACATACAGCCTTAGTGTGTGCTCCTGTTAATGCAGTCTTACCAATTGTTAAGCGAGTCATTGACCCGTTTTTAAGTTGTAAATTAATATTCTGACCATCAAATATCACTTTATCATTTATTATATCCAAATAATTTTTAGGTGTTAATTGTTTATTTTGTCGTAAACTAACAACTTTCATTTTTTGTGCAATCTTTTTAAAATCACTTCCATCAATTGAACCGTTGAATGATGTATAACACTTAGGGCATAAAGCAACCATGTTATCACCTTGTTTCTCAATTGCTAAACCCAATAACTTCTTTTCATGTGCTTTTTCTTCAGCTTTATTCTTTAATTTAGGTTTAAATTTCTCATCAAAACAGAAGAAATCAAATGGTGTGAATTTGAAAATGTTTTTATCATAAAATTGTTTATCGGTAACAATTGCTTGAAATGCTTGAGTGTTAGGAAGATTTGGGTCGCCAGCGATTGCCCAATAAGATGAATCAGTATCACCTTCAATGAAATGAAAACGATTAACATCCATGCATTTATACATAAAATCATAAATGAAAACCAAATACCAGTATTTAGCGTTATCTAAAGTGAAGAATGCCTCTTGTAAACATGTATCACATCTATAAAATCTATCTTTAAGCATCACTTGATATGTATCCTCACCTATTTCTCTTATGTTTTTAAACTTATTTGACATACATGCAACGCGTGCCTTCTGTGCATTCATTATTTTAGTCTTTGCGTAATTTTATGTATTCATTGCATCGTAACCATATGATCCATTAAGTGAAATCTTGCAAAATAAACTTTTGCCTTTATTTCCTTCTAATTCAGCCTTTTGTCTTTCGTTCATAAATTTGTTCGCAAATTCATTAAAACAAGTGTTTTTAGTAAATGTTAAAATTGATTGAATATCATCGATGATAAAATGAAATCTGTCTATTAGATACCAAAGATAATAAGAAGAAAATGGTTGATATTGGTTGTGTGTTGATGCTAACTGAGTTAATTTCCTCTGTTTCTGGTCAACTGGTAGATTGTTTGATTTCATGTAATTATACATAAAACTGCCAATTGTTTTTTCATCTGTGATAATATCTAAGTTTCTTATTATCGGTAAAAAGTTTATGTAATCATTAATGTATTTTTCATCAATGTGACCCTTTACTTCAGCCACGAATAAAGTATTTTTCTTTCTAATAATTCCCAGTGCTTTTGCTTTCTTTGTTGCTGTATCACAAATGATAACACCATTCAATCTTCCGGCATATACATTTTATGGTCAGTATATTGAATGAAATCATGAGGATTAGATGAAAATGATGAAGGATATAATGAATTAAAATCAACACAAACGAAATGAGTCATGATGTTGGTGGTGTCCTCATTTGATACAGTTTTAGTTTCTGGACTATATGAAAGTTTATTAATGTGTGTGATTCCTTTAAGATTTACTCTATGTTGAACATTTGATAGACACCAGTAATTCCATTACGGAGAATGTGATAAGCTTCAACTGAATCTAAAGTCATTGGTAAATTATTTTTTAATGCATAATTTCTTAAATTGATTCTTAAACGTTGAACATCTTCATCTTTATTTGATTTTACGACATTGCAATAACAACACATTAACTGACAATTTTCTTTGGTATGTGGTTTTTCATTATCGATTCTATCCAATGTTGGTTTATTTGCATATGTAAACGCTTTACCACACATTTTGCATTTAGATGAAAGGATTAAATCGTGATAGTATTGAAAATCGTCCATTGAAACATTATTTTTAGTATCTCTTCTGCTTCTTCATCTTGTTTCTTATATGATTCAATTTTATATTTCCAATACTTTTTCGTTAATTCAAAACTTGATTCTATCTCTTCCTCAGGATATTTTTCATTAGGATTAAAGTCTTTATATGCTAAAGCGTAACGAATCATTGAAGCATTCGATGATAAAGAAAGATTATGAAGCGTGTCAATTTTATAAACAAATGTTTCTTCAATAATTTTATCAATTGGGTCAATCATAATTTCAACATCTTTATTGCAATAATGAATAAAATATTCTAATCTATTCTTAAAATTTTTAGCATCATTGAGATATATTTGATAATCACTATCTGATATAGTTTCTTGAGTTAATGCTGAATAAAATGAATCTTGAGTGAATGGTTCCACTTTATATAATTCTTCTTCGTAATTTTCCCATGTGATGAATTGATAAGGGAAAAAGGATTTAACACGTGATTTATTGTTTCCGAAATCTTGAGTGAATTGGTCTAATGTCCCACCCGCTATATAATTTCTGATGTCAATAAATCTTAATTCATATGGAACGTTTGTTTTCTTTACAATGACTTGCTTAAATTGAGAAGATGAACCCAGCATTGATTTTATTTTCCATTTTGCAGTGTTTAAATCACGAAGAATTAAATTTAAATCAAACTTTCCCGAATTAAAACCTATGATATTCACTTTATTGAATTCCTCATCTAGAAGTTCTTTAAATGCTTCCTTCTGTTTTTCATTTAATGTATGAGACAAAGTCCCCACCGTTTGCGACTTCAATAATTCATTGTATTGTTCAATCTATGATTCAACAACTAATGAACAGGTTGAAAATAAAAACTCAATCCAATCAGAAATAAAAGAATCACTCGAAGTTAAGCAAAAATTCCTTGTGTATGTTTTATCATTTAATTTAACTGTTGATGATACCATGAATGGTTTTAAGTAAGCATTCAAAGTTGCACACTCAGAAAGTTGTAATTCTTCTTTAGTCTCTAATGTTTCAAAGTCAAAAGTAATATAATATCTTGTCGGTTTATAATATTCTGCAAATTGTGAGCTAATAACCACTGATATATCTTCTGTTTCGTAATATGTGGTGCATATGGTTGCTGTGTCTTTTGCAACTGAACGTCTTGAATTAATCTCCCATTATTTTCTTTACATTTCTCACAATGCTTTAAAAATCTTCTTTGGTTTTCCTTTCTGGATCATCACGGATAGAATAAACTTCTTCTTTACAATGGACAAACTTTATAGCCGGTGAGTGCTTCAACGTCTGTTATTCTGTCAGCGTGAAGTTTTCCACATGGACTCTGTGTTAATAAAATATTTACTGTTTCAAATTCTGGATCTATCATTATTGATTCCACTAATGGAAAGTCTACCTTATTTATGTCCACGTCTTCTGGTTGAGGATCACAATAATAGAAATCAATATTAACATTTAACATTCTCGCTAATCTCTCACTTTCTGATGAAATGTCAAACCCTTCATATGCATCTATTGCTTCATTTAAATAGCTTCTACGAGTTTTAGGATTAACACCATCAGGAATGTTATAGAAGCGTTTAAATAACCTTCTACCTTCTGCTCTAATTTGATTATCATTCATTTTAGCTGTTCCGTTTTTGTTCATTTATGTAAGAATAAAAAATTAAAAAATAAATAAAAATAAAGTTTATTTTTTAAAGCCCATAAAATGAATTAAGAACACATAAATTTTTATCATCTGCGACGTGACGAATACATTTTAATTTACTCAAGAATGCGTACCCTGATACATTAAATCTAATTCCTGTCTTATTTAATTTCACAACTTTGAAAAGGAATGTATGAATAGCTATAAAATGATGAGAAGATGTTTTATGGGTTGCTTCCATTTTTTCTGAAATAAATGAATAAATATAATGCTTATAAGTTTTCATATCTTTTATGTTCTTAATAACGAATGGTATAGACCTTTCACTTCGTCTTCCTTCGGTGCTGTTCTTTCATATGAAACATTATTAGTATCTTCAATAATGAAACCACAATCACACAAAATTTTATAGGTTCCAATGGTTTCTTTTGATATTTTATCTAATAAATCAAAAACTTTATCAACACCGTGCATTTATTTAAATAATAATTTGTGTAAATATCATGATCTTCTTTCTTAATCGTATTAGTTGCATATGTCACGTTTTTAAGAGCTTTTTTGAATTTTTTGGAATCTAAAGGTGGTGAAAGTAGGATACAGGGGTATTCTTCATTATCAATAAATTGTAACTTATGTTTACGAATAAATTTAGTACCTTCTTCTGAAAGTGTTTCGTCTATTTCACCATCTAATAAATTTTGTGTTGATTCTGAGACATAATTTTTATATCTTTCTTCATGAGATTTCTGAACTTCTGATTCTGAAGCTGGGATATTCATTAGACCCTCTACTTCATTTTCATTATATTTTTCAACTTCTCTTAATTCCTTAATTTTTTCATCTATTTCATCTCTTATTTTTTCCAGTCTTTCAATTTCATTGTATTCATCATCTTTAATCCGTTCTTCATAATATTCAGGGAAAACATCAGGTTCTTTAGGTTTTTCTTCTTCAGATGTGGGATATAAGAAATTTATAACATCATCTTTATTCATTTTTCCATCATAATCTAAATC